CTTGAAAGAAGTGAGGTGTACGGTTTTCAATTATGTTATGGTGATTTGAAATAAATTAAATATTCTTTATTAAATTCAAAATAATTGGGTGGGGGCTTGAATATTATCAGAATGAAGTTTCATGGAGATTGAAGTGATTTTTAATAATTGAATTCATGAATCAATTAAAGCTAGACCAATGGAATTCAACCGTATCTGTTGTAGAGGCAATTAGTCCCTGAAGATAATGGTGAACGGTTGTGCAATAACGTGGATTAGCTGGAGTTTAACATTAACACCTTCGGATGCCGACACGTTCAGTAGTCTAGAGGTTAGGCATTCGTATACGAGACTGAAAGTCCTGGATTTTGATCCCGCGAGCGTGATCGCAGATGCGCACCGTCGAGGAGTCCCATAGTAGAACGAAATGGCCAGAACTTACATGTTTTTCATGGTGGTGTAGATATAATTGACTGATGAATACAACTATTAAGTTTAGAAAGTTTTTTATATGATATAAACTGAATAAAGTATGAAACGGTTCAGTTCGTTCTCTTTCCTCACCGTAATTCGTATATGGATTAATATATTGTAGAAATAACGATGATTATGTTAGGAAACGTGACTGAACTGTGAAGAATCAAAATAGAGATGGTTTGAACAAAGTGACACTTGTCGAATGTACATTCTATTTTTTGTTTCTTGTTTCTCATGATTATGTAAACAATGTAGTTCTTATGCACTATCTCTTAATAATGAGAATTGGTTTCTTTATAATTTCAAAATGGTATTATTCTATGAATGATTCAATGCATTGAAACACTATACAAATGTACTTTCACATGAGAGATTTCTAGAAATACTGGCTATCAGGACTCAGTAGCTGAGTGGTTAACGCGATGGAGTTTGAAGCGAGAGGTACTGTGTTCGAGTCCCAGAGTGCGTATCAACTCTGAGATGCAGGCACATCCAATTGACAAGTCCCAAATAGGACGAAACACACATCCTGGATTCCACAACTAGCCACTACCCATCCTTGCTTATAATGTTTGTAAATTAGGGCGATATCCAGGCAATACGCACAGTATGCTTATATGCAAATAAGAGACTGATCAATTGCAGTCCTAAATAACAATGGGAAGATTCAAACAAACAATACTAAGTAGAAATACTACGTATTCAATTGTGACTACTAAAATTTGAAAATATTTGCACTCATGGCAATATTTGGGGAAATACGGAATACAGTGGACATCTCAGAATCAATCAGATCATTTGGACTTCACAGATAACCTAGCCCTCCTCAATATTAAATACTCAATACTCAGTATTCACTGACTGGATACTATCAGCAACAGTGTTTTATGACAGAGGATAAACCAGCTTCCAGCTGAAGAGGAAATTAAGAAAAGATGCTGGAAGTGGATAGGACATACATTTAGGAAATCACTAATGTACATTACAAGGCAATGCCTAACTTGGAATCCGAAAGAGAAGCAGAGAAGAGGGAGGCCAAAGAACACATTAAGCCGGAAAATAGAAGCAGATATGGAAAGGATGAATAACAACTGGAAAGAACTGGGAAGGAAGGCTCATGACAGAGTTGGATGGAGAATGCTGTAGAGCTGCCTATGCTCTTCGACGAGGGTTAACAGGAGTAAGTAAGTAAGTAAGCATGGCAATATGTGTAGTTGCATTCGCTTTTTTATTATGAGTTGGTTTAATGAATTTGTTACGTATCTGCAGTTGTTGACAGTAATCAAACTAGTCATATTAAGAATTTCAAATCATATATAGTTGCCATAAAATTGGGCTGAATTCGTGCCACCTTCTCAACGTACACACTGTGAGTGTAGTTCATCTTCCAACCAATATGTACATTTTCAACCTGCATTTCGATATATTCTTGATTTACAAATAGACATGCGAATAATTCAATGATGTGCATAGATCAAGGTTAATTGAAATCGAAATTTTGAATACTCAGTGCCCCCATAATGCTATTAGCAATTTTAATTGTCGTTTCTGTGCTGCTCATTGAACCATGAACTGTTTCATAAGTACTGTACAAAATCTAATTATATTAACTATCAACTTGTAATGTTCGTCTGTATGTAAGTTGTGATTCCTTGGTTTATTCAATTAACAAATACAGATTACCTGTTAAGGGAAAATAAATTCGTCTTACATTTGTAGACGTTTAGTTAGTTTAACAGTCAAATATCTGAGTAACCTGAAGCTAGACCACCATGGAAAACCTGGAATCACTGGACGGCTGTTTCGTTCTAGTATGGGACTCCTCGATGATGTACATCCAAAGGATCCGAACCTAGGACTTATCGGTTTGGCAAGCAAACGCTTAACCTTTAGACCAATGAGCCCGCATCAGTGCCTGATTGTTTACAACCACACTGACAAATTATGTGCCTATATCTGTCAGTTAGTTATTTCTCAAATGTATACAAGAACACTTTTTACTTACACTTAGGAAGTTGTTTACTTTTTTTTCTGTATTAATACGTTTGGATGAATGGATTGATTTAGTCAGTGTTGTTGTTGTTTACATGTTTAAGCCTATTTTTCTTTATGTATTAATGGAATGGTTCTAATAGTTTGATCAATATAATTGTACTTGTTTCTTACTGTTAATGTTGATTCTCCAATTTCAGTTTAGTATATTTAATCCTCCCATTAGATTAAAAAAGAGTGAATTCTACCAAATATCATCATTTTTAACAGTTGAATTTACAAGTCAATCTAGGCAAGAACAAGACTGATAATATGGAAACACTAAACAACCATTTTGTCCTAGTACGGAACTCCCTAACATTGCGTAACCACGATCTCACACGTGCGACTCAAATCTGGTACCTCAAGTCTCGCGCGCGAACACTAAACCTCTAGATTATCAGACTGGTGTCCAATGGTGTTAGCGTCTAACTTCAATTGATCCATGATCTTGTGTAACCCAATATTGTTAGATTAAATTTATCCTATATTTAAATCCAACACCTAACTTATCTATCAGTCATTTTCTACTTTAATGATGAATGTATTTCATTCAGAATTCAAAATTCCTTACACAAACAACTTTCATGATTTCAATAGAGAATAAAATCACCAAACAACATGGTTCCATTCATGAAACAGTAATAATACAGACTTATCTATCACTGTCAAGAAATATTCACCATAAAGTAAAAAAGCGTCTGATACACTCTAACTTCAGTGATTTCATGGGAATTTTCTTCACTAACACTGGTATTATTCAAATATTCTTAATAAATTGAATATACATTATTGAATAATAAGTAAAATATATATTAGTAAATCAATTAACTACACTAGTTCAGCTAATAATGAAGATAATTGACAAGTGTCTATTGTTTTCTTGGGGGGCCACACCCCGAGCCTTTGACCAAAAGGTCTGATCCACAAGGCAGTGGAGCATCGTAAGGAGATGCATTCCCATGGTAGCCGTTAACCAATGACTGGTTCGTCCGCCATTTGTTCCATCAGAATACTGGAGCCCATGTGCACCATTGGTTTGGAATCAGGGTTTTCCAACTCCCCTAGGTGGACCCTATGTGTCCACCAACCTGGTTAAAGCGCCGGACATTCGCTTTTCGTCCTCTCACTTTCGTAGTAGTATATAATGCTAGTCAAGAATAGAATGTTTGGTAGCAGAAGGTTGAAAAGATCGATGAAGGGAGAATAGGAATAGAAATCAATTGACATTGAAATGCAAAATTAATGAAGTCTGAGACAATTAATTAGCATTTTGCAAATAAAGTATTGGAGTATGATTTTTCTAATTTATGAAGTAACTTAATAATTCTGTGTTCTGTATAATTGGTTGTTTTCACCTGTATTCTCCTTCTTTACAGTATTAGAACTGACCAACATTGGTGTCTATGTTGTGCCATCTACTCTACATATAGTCATCAACCACACTTACATTAGTCTCAACTGTGTTTTACCTCTAACAGTAGATTTCTGTACAAAATGACTTACATTTTTGTCTGATCATTCAATAAATCAATTCATTAATATTAACATTGCTGGTTATCTAAACTGACCTTTCTATGAATACTAGTCAGGTAAATCTTAGAAACTCAATTCTAACTTGTTTTATTTTGCAACCAAACTAACTATTGCCTTCATAATGAAGTAATGATTACTGCAGAACAAACTGTCCTATGTGCTGATAACTACCACTTCATATAATCCTAATTCGACTTTCGAGGAGTTCTATAAACAAACGTGTAATTGCCATAAAACTCACAATTAAAAGATCCATAGAGTGTGATGATTAAACACATTCAGTTCATAGTTTAGTAATCATTATTGTACAAAATATTCGACTTTATTATTATCCGTCATAATGGAAAAGACCGAGTTTGAAGTTAGTCTTTGTAACGATGCGACATCTGTAAAACTCTAAAAAGCAAGAAATTATTCGACAACTTTTCTGTCTCAGTCTAAAACTTTTCAAATGAATCCTATTTTTACCCTAAGAAAGAACTGAATTCAGGGATCAAAGGGAGTAAGTTACTTTTGAATTGACGATTGGGAATCCGATAATCAACTTTTTAAATTTAAAATAAGTCGTGATGTTTGATTCCTTTGGTGATATCCGTCATATTCTCGACAAGTTTTAGTCATAATAAACCCAGCTTTTCATTGAGATTTCTTGAGCTTTATTACCAAGGTTATAACGAGGGACAAGATGTTGAACTATTGGACTCCAATTAAATAGGGTGGTTGTTGGCCACTAGACATTTAAAAATTAATCGACATCCGGATCAGGTTACCGATTCAAACTACCGAGAAGTTAAGCTAGAATGTAATTGGTTTCCAGAACTCATTGGTTTTCAAAATTTTTCCAGATTATATTGAACTATAGACAAATTATCTTCAACTGTTCACATAGATGGTTATTTCTTTTCCTAAAGTAGAGTATTGAACGTGTAATTGTCCCTGCAATTTACACAAGTTATTCATACACAAATTCATCTATCAATTCATTTAGTATTGTTTGTTTGAATCTTCACATTGATGTGTTGGGACTGCAACTGGTCAGTCTCTCATTTTCATATGTTCATACTGTGCGTATTGCCTCGATATAGCCTGAAGTCACAAGCATTATTAGCAAGGATGGATAGTAACTAGCATTGGATTCATCTATACTAATGTTTTTACTTATAAAATAAAAAAACAAAACACAAACAGGTACAGTATGAGATCTCATCAAAGTCAAACAAAAACACAAACCAATAGAAATTAAAGAATAAAAATAATTTAAAAAAAAGGAGAATAGTTAAAGTAGTTGGCAACAACAATCTTGAAAAAAAAGAAAACAACAAACAAGGAAAGTAAGCCAAGTAAGCAACAACAAGAAAGGGGGCTGTGATTACCCCTTAAATCGAGTGGCTTCATCATTCGTTGTTATAGAAACAAAGATTAGTAAACTGATAGGAAGAAAAAACTCTATCGTACCTCTTGGCTACTTAATTAGATTACAGATGATCTATATGGAACTGTGTGTGTATCGTTTAGAAGATGTGTGCAACTAATATAATTAACATTTATGATGATAGTAAATGATAATCATCAATAATCATGTTAACATGATTGATTAGAGCACTACGTGGTTTTTTTTATATTTCTCATAAAAAACAGGTGATATCAAAGATACTACTGATAACGTTTGTTAGTAGTATCATCATTATAATGAAAAAAACACTGAACAATATGATAAAATAACATTTAAAATTTTGATTTTCAATGAAAGACTTTTTAAAGTAACCACAGAAAGCTTGATCATAGATGAATTATGTAATGTGGAATTTTGTTACCACCCCTCTATCCTATATTAATAAATGAAAAAAATCTCAATGTGATAGGGGATACACAACCATGATAACCGCCACAACCACCACCACCACCACCATAGCAACAACAACAACAAGGAAAAAAAACACAAAAAACTATAGCTTCCATGAAGTACGCTTAATATTGTTTTAATGGTATACGTGAACTTGAATAAGATCTTGTTGAAATAGGTATTAATGAACCATGTCTTGATTTCATATTCATAGAATATAATTGATGATTAGATTCATTATGATTTTGATTTGGATGGAAACGATCTTCTATTATATAATCATCATTAGATGGTTTATTATTATTATGATTATTATCGGATGTATATACAATCTCTACTGGTTTATTCATCAATTGATGATTATAAGTTGAAGTCAATATATTCGGATTGGATGGTTTACATGACGATGATGGCGATGATAATGATGATGGTGGTGGTGGTGGTTTTCGATTGAATAGATTAGCAGATCTACTTCTATTTTGATGTTGTTGACTTCTTTTCTGATGCTGACTTTGACTTTGATGAACATGATGATGATGAGGAGGAGGAGGAGGATGAGGCTGAGAATGATGTAATGATGATAATGATGATTTCAATGATTGTATTGTAGATTTTCTATCGGTTACATAATGATTTGTTGATTGTATTCGATGTTGATGACTACTATTATTAGTAGTATAATTAGTTTTATTCTTATTCTTATTATCATTATTCATTGTAGGTAAAACTGAGATCATTTCCACTGGTTTTAAATTCTTTCTATTAATCAACTGTTTACAATTAAGATTTAATGAATTTAATGATTTTGAAAGATTATGATTATGTCTACTATTTAGATAATAAGTAGTTTGAGGTAAGTAATATGGTCTATTTATAATATATGATGTATTATTAGATTTTTCTAATTCAGATCTTATAATAGTAATAGTTGATTTTGGTTTAAGTAGTTTATCAATAGTATTGGATGATCTAATATTATCATCAATATCCTTATGATTATGTACTGATTGTATATCATCCACAGTTTCCTTTGACTCATTTTTGATTAGATTAGCATTGAAATTATTGTCTTCACCATCAGTAGAGATGTCAGTTTCGTTAAATCGTTGGAAATGCTTCAGACCATTCAATTTTTTATCATTTAATGAAGTTAAATTCAATTCAGAGAAAAACTGTTGACAGAATAGAAAGAGGTTTTTTTTTTAAAGAAAGAATAATAAAAGAGAAAACATTAAAGAAGCTTAGAATTGATGTTTTGTAGAAATGTGAGAGTATATGCTCACTAGTGACTGGCTCCATGAGGTCATTCCTGAAGTTCTAGTGAGACGTCGTAGTCAGTGGAGCTAATCCCTGTCAGGTAGAGACAGGTATCTGCATCAGTACAATGGAAGTTGATATCGCAATTTCGTGGATTGGTTGAGGTTAGACATTAACACCGTTGAATGCCGGCTCAGTGGTCTAGAGGTTAAGTGCTCTGTCGCGAGACTGGTAGGTCCTGGGTTCGAATCTCGCTAGGAGGGATCGTGGATGCGTACTGCTGAGGGGTCCCACAATAGGATGAAATGACCATCCAGTGCTTCCAGGTTTTCTACTGTGTTATAGCTTCAATTGACTCATGATCTTAACTATATAAAATGTGAGACATTGTTATATCCTGGAAGACAATAGTGGATGGTAACTGTTGGGATCTATTTATGGACTACTAATAGTATACATCTATTCTTATTGTTTGATTAGTAAGTAACTAAACTATGTATATTCATATTTTTCTTATGATGAGCTTCCATTTGACCTATAAACCATTAATATACGATTTACCATTCTTGAGTTATGCCCAGTATATCAATTACAATCTCTCACATTCACAGACACATTTGGCCTGATTTTGTACAGATGTCGTTTTACATTTTATAGTGCGATGTACTCTGTTTTAAATAGAAGATTCAAACCGTAGAGGCTGTGATTTGTGTTTTGGAATCTACAGTCAAGGCTTAGCAAGAAGAAGGACCGATAAAGACTCTAAACTGAACATACGGGTTCATGCATCATTGGTTTGGTTAATAATCCACTGTTCTCTTATTCGCAGTATCATTACGTTGGAGGCATAATTCCACAAGTTCGAACATACACTTAGTATCAACTAAATTCATATCGTACTTCATATACTCTAGTTTTTGGGAATATTAGTTCGAAAATTAACAGTCCATAGATACAACTCCGATGGATTCATAGGAACTGATAATAATCATTATATATCATCATCCTACTTTTTACTGTAACTCCGCCTGTAGCTCCTCCTGAAGCTACTGCCGGTCCCAAGCTCGGGTAGAGGAGGAGGGTTGGGCATGGAGTTAGCGACCCCATCCCGTAAAAAAACAAACTCGCTAAAAAAACGCTAACCTAAAAAACAACGCTAACCAGTATAAAACATAATATTAAGAAAATAGTTTATAAGAGAATTATAATCGAATAATTGGCAATATAGAATTGTAGAGATTGTTCAGTTTCCATTGAAATCATGAATCGATGAATGTTAGACGATCATTGAAAACCTGAAAACATTAGATGACCATTTCATCTCAATATAGGAATCCTCAACAATACATCCATGATCCAACGGAAAAAGGACTTGGATCCAGTACATTCGGTCTTGCATGTGAACACTTAACTTCTAGATCACTGATTCGGTATCCTATGGTGTTCATATGTAAATTCAACCAATCCGGGATCGTAAATGCGCACTAATTGGAAGTCTCAAAGTAGGACGAAACGGCTGTCCAGTGATTCTACGCTATAATATAATAGATTTCCTATTCTTAATTTAAAACATTATACAGTTCAATAGCTATGTACTGTTTACTAAACGATCATAGTATGAAAATTATCTTCTCGATCAACGTTAATGTAGAACAGTTAAAAGTCGAAGGTTTAGAACCATATTCTCATCATTTACTCACCTGACTGGTATTTACGAAAGTTATCTTGTTTCCCTAATAAGAAAGCAGTAGGTATATTCCTAAGAGTAGAAAAAGGAGACCATTCACTGAGATTATAATTTATGGATGACCTATGAGCGATACTAGAATGACTTTGATAGTGTTCACCTTATAACTAGGGCCAAATGGAGGTTATAAATCAGTGTGAGGAATTAGATTTGAGGGTTTTCATCATAAACTTATATCAGCTATCATACCAATACTCTAATTATCTAAACGGATGAATGAATTACGCGCCAAAATCCAAGACCTATCATCGTAAATCTGATTGGTTCGTAACTTATTTAAAACACTTACCGAATACTCAGTTAATTGTTAAATTTAATCAATTTATTGAAATTTTATAGATGAGATCATGAATCTATTGAAGCTAGAACACCTGGATGCACTTAACTGTCGTTTCATCCTATTGTGAGACTCCTCAGTGGTAGTACATAACCACGATCCCCCCCCCTAAGCGAGATTCGAATTCAGGATCTATCAGTCTCTCTCCAGAGCACTTAACCGATAGACAATGGTATTACTCTCTAACCTCAACTAATCCACGAACTGGCGCGATCATCTTCCACAAAACCACTTTCTGACAATTTATTGAAAGTTTAAATCATTTGAATACAATTATATAATATACTACTCACTTGTGATTTAGTAAGATATTCATTTTCATTAAAATATAATGAAGGATCTTGTATAGATTTTTTAGAATAAATTTGATTTTTATTAAAAATTTTCTTTCTTTCCATGAATTTTGATACTGTGGAATTGGTTTCTATCTTCCCATCGGAATTGTCACCGTCCTTTTGTAATTGTTCCGCTTTCGTTACTGATGATAAACGTTTTTTTCTAACATTTAATTTACATTCTGTAAACTTTTGAGGTTCATCTTCATTTAATGATGTTTGATTCAGTTGTGAAGATTTAATTGAAGAATCAATTAAATTAGAATTGTCATTCTGATAAGATGAAGATAATTTACATGATCCTACTATATATAAAATAAAGAAAGATAAAGACATTTTAGTCTTATTTTTAAAGAATAAGAATCGTTAAGCTTATGATTAGGATCCAGATCTGATGAATGAAAAACCAGCATTGAAAACTTGAAAGTAGTAGTTGAACGTTTCGTCTAAGTATGGGACTCTTCAACAGTATGCATACACGATTCTACTCGCGGGATTTACACTTAAGACTTTTGAATTCATTTATGATTGTTTGTTTGAATCTTTCCATTGATGTTAAGGACTGCAACTGGTTAGTCTTTTGTTGGCATATGTGCATATTGTGCGTATTTCAGATACATCCAGATGACAAATCTCAAATAGGACAAAATGCGCTTCCTGGTCTTGAATACAGTTGTTTTGTAGTGAACGAGAACGCGATTGGAGATAAATGAATATATTCAAATAGAGGAATACAGAATCTCTTAGTAGTATCTGAGATCCATACCCTGAATATTTAGTTTGGAGAATATAAAACCAATCGTCTCAGACTTCATTGTTATATCATTTCAACGTCAATCATTCTCCGTTCTCAGTCACTTTTCTTCAATCTTCTTAATCTTCTTCTACCAAGCATTTCACTTTCCACTGATGATACATACTACTTAGATTTATGGACTTCTTTAGCATATATCACAAGTTAACTTCCACACCAATGATCCACTTTCCTATGGTGTTAGTGTCCAACATCAACTAATCTGGGAATCTTGGATGTACACTGTTGAGGTATCCCATACTAGAACGAAATGACCTTCTAGTGCTTCTAAGTTTTCAATGGTGGTCTAACATTCATCGATTCATGATATCAATCAAAAATTAAAATTAAATTCATTACATTATAGCATCAAGTGAACATTCACCAACTTCATTTAATCATGTATTGCTTACTTCCTGAGATGCCGTATCCTATATAAACAAACATTAAACAATAAGTACTAGATATATTTTACTGTCTGGTTTAAGTTTCCTTAACCTGATAACTGTGAACTGTTTGATAGCAATGCAAAAACTGAATGGCACCATCCCTGTCCTGTAATTAAAAATTTCTTCACGTTGATACAGTGTGTAGTTATAGGTTAACACTTTGAATAGTTGAAAGCGTGAGTCCTTTGAAACTAGACCATCATGAAAAATTTGGAAACACTGGACGGCCGTTTCGTCCTATTATGAGACTCCTCAGCAGTGCGCATCCACGCACCCACGAAACGGCCGTCCAGTGTTTCCAGGTTTTCCATTATGGTCTAGTTTCAATTGACTCACGCTTTCAACTATGATAAATACTAAATCTCCATACTTAGGATTGTTTGTTTAAATCTTCCCATTGATGTTCTAGGACTGCTAGTCACTATCCATCTATGCTTACAATTCTTGTGAATTAAGTCTGTATCGAGGCAATACGCACAGTATGCACATATGCTAATAAGAGACTGATCAATTGCAGTTCCAAAATATCAATGGGAAGATTCAACCAAACAATACTAAGTGAATTTAAACTTCACTCCATTACACAAGCAACTGGGTATCAGAAATCAGTAGCTGAATAGATAACATGATGGCGTTTGACGCGAAAAGTACTGCGTTCGGGCCCCAAAGTGAATATCAAAAACTCTGAGATGCAGGTACATCCAGCTGATGAGTCCCATAAAGGACGAAACTCACACCCTGGATTCCACTGCTAGCCATTAGCCATCTTTGCTTACAATTATCTTACTTTGCTAGCGGTAGGTTTAATGACATAAATTCAGGTTAAGATAACACCCTAATCTCAATAAATATACAATATAATTACCATTACTAACTCTAGCATACCTTAAAATATAGTCTAATAATATATGAACTGAAAAACAGTTTGGTACAATGAAACAAGTAAAGCATTTGATGACTTCAAGATTGAATATAGAAAGCATACTTACATGGATTAACTTTACGACACTCATCATATTTGGATAAGAAATGACTCAGTGTATCCCAACCACCACCGACTCGAACCATGACATGATTCCTTAATATCTACATTGAAAGAATAAAATAGGCTTAAATGAAAACAAACAATATGTCGAAACAAATTTAAATTATATTACATAAAGTCTTAGATATCAGTCAGTTACCTGACGTTTACCATGGAGACATTGGACTTAATTTGTAATATGAAATTCACTAGTAACTTATGAATGAGACATGAATCTACGTAGAAAAGCCGATTAAGTGAATGAAGCTTAGCTAATGTACAGAATCAACACTTCATACATTTATAAAGTGTTTATATAAGTATCATTTCATTTCATCTCTACAACGTGCTTGAATATCTGGGATACATGTTACTGACACCAACTTGTCTCAACAAGTTACATGTCTTTTATTTCTTTTAACACGTCATTATGTCTAGTCATTGGATAACCTATTTCGGCGCGCTTATGAAAAGTTTTCGATCATTCGCTGTACAAATTACAAGAAAGTATAATAAGAGACATTGTGATGGATGTCAATATGCCTGGAAATGATTGATCATTGTACAGCTGTCGATTCCAGAACTTCTTACATCTAACTGATAATCATCCAATATTTATCGTTAGGATAAATAAATAAATAATGGAAGGAAACTTGTTGAAATATTTTTTGATGGGAATTCTATATTGTACCAAAAATATAATAATGAATAAAGCCATTAATAATAATAGTAATAATAAATACGTCACTTTAAAAGTGATACTTTTTGAGGTAAAAAAAGTTGAACTACTTAATTTTATTTGAATAGTATAACTATTTCTAGGTAATTTTTACTGACAGGTACTGTAAACGAAACAACTATTTAATTACATATTAAATCCTATTGAAATTAAAATCTATATAATCATTTCTGAAATTAAAATTTTACCATAACAGGGCCATTTGATAGAAATAGGAAAGTAGTAAAATAAGATGATCCATAATTTCTTTCAACGATAACAATTAAGTAGTATACTTTGATTTAATTGAAATACTAGTTCACAGCATGATCTGACAATTATAATTGATGATGAGTAAAATGTAAATTACTCTACACTTATACATAACCATATACACTAATCATATTAGTATTGACATGGTTAACTGATATGTACTCAAATTCAACTAAGTTTATAGATAATTGAAATGGTACCCAAGGTGTTCTGTATGTGTATGATATATGAAAAAATCATTCATAATGTAACTAGTTATGACGTAATAGTCTTTTGTTACTAATTATATTGAAGAAACTGAATTCAATGAACATAGTATAACTTAAATACAATTCCAATAAGAATAATTACGTTCTCCCCCCCACACACACACACTTGATTATAATACTCTTGTAGTGAACGAGGATACCGTTAGGGACAACCAAATGTATTTGTATACCTAATTACAAGACATAACCATACTATGAATACTTCATTCGCAAAATATCAATCATTCATTTTAGATTTCATTATCCCTTCGTTTGCACACCAATCATTCTCTGTTCATATTCTCTTTTATTCGATCTTCTTAACCTTCCACTACTAGGCATTCCATTTCCAATTGATGATATATGCTACTTATATCTATCAACATCAGTAACGCTAGACACACCATTACTGACAAGAAAGCATCTATTAATTCCGAACAATAACCAAAAATACTTAATACATTTTAATGATTCATATCAGTTGTTTAAAAAGTAGTCCTAGAAACAAGAGGAAATCGTAAGTATGTTGTTGAATTGATAGCAATGACAATTTCTGGAACATAGCTATCATTTTCTCAAATTAACAATAATATCTTACATAGTAACCATCAACTAGTCGTAAGATTTGTGTTTCTATATATTTGAAAATTGCCAAGTGATTTATTATCTCGTTGTTAAGATTCTTATCATTGAATTGGATATTATAACAAAACCCCACTCTAGTACTTACTTACTTACTTACTACTCCGCCTTACTTACTAACTCCGCCTGTAGCTCTTCTAGAGGTACTGCCGGTCCCAAGCCCGGATAAAGGAGTAGGGTTGGGCATGAGGTTAGCGACCCCATACCGTAGAAAAACTAACTCGCTAAAAAGCGCTAACCAGGAAAAGTAATTCAAAACATTTAAACTCTGCCCTGTAAGTTGAATGCATAAGCAGATATGAAAAGGATGAATAGCAACAGGAAAGGATCACCCAGGATGAGTTTGATGGAGAATGCTGGTGGGCGGCCTATGCTCCTCCACGAGGGGTAACAGGCGTAAGTAAGTAAGTATGTTCATCGATTCATGAAATTCAACAATTATTCACAACTTCATATTGATGATATTTCTAGACTGAAAACTCGTTTTAACTTTACAAATCTTTATAGTTGAATTCATGAGTAAACTGAAACTAGACCACTATATAAAATCTGGAAGCGACGGAAGGCCAATTCATGTTAGTTTAAGGCTTTTCAGTAGTGCGCTCCCTCGATCCCACTCGTGAAATTTGAATCCAAGACCTATCAGTCTTGAGCGCTAACACTTAACTCATATACCATTGAACTTGCCGTCATCCAAAGGTGTTAATGTCTAACTTCAACCAATCCCCAAAAACGTTTTGAAGTATATTCATCATCTTAAAATAAGGTGTATCCACAAACAACAATTCTACCTAAATCACAATGAATTGACATACTTCACAATCTTCATTCAATATCATTTGTATTCTGTGATTTCTTCAAAAATGATCCAAATTTATTTCGGTATGTTATCAATTCAAAGAGATTCATTATATTCTATAGATGGGTAACATTAGTATTTATGAGAGATACTAAGATGTAGAACACTTCAGAAAATGTTGCAAACAGAATGTATAATTTATCATACATTACACATTCCTTCTACTTAGAGAGCGCTCCTTGAAAATTAGTCAATCCATTTTAGACTACTTACAGTAGTATAAATATGAATACGACATTTGTTCGGAATTTACTCTCACAGTGCCATAGATCTGTTCAGAGGAGCATAGACAATGATGTAGAGTCCAACGGTAGATGCGAAGGGGTTTTTTCATTTACAATCTCATCATTCATCAATCATTCGTTTAACATGATGTAATTCACAGTTGAATTCTTTTATTTAAATATTTTGAATATAAAAGAAAATTTTGATTCATTAACAACATATAATGATATGACTCAGTAAACTAATTGACTGATTTCTCCATTTCTGAGAATCTTTCTGGTTAACACTTCAAGTCATTGATTCCGTGAAGCAACTTTATTCGAATCACATATAAATATAGGTACAGCGAAAACACCAAAAAGATATGCGCCACATTACTCATCCGATTTGTATGAGGGCTGGGATACTGACCGGGTGTCCAAACCGAAGCACCTGATTTCACTAGGATGCCACTACTGGGGCCCTCCACCTAAAAGTCTAATCCACAATGTAGTGAAGCAACATAAGAAGTTGTAATCACATGATAGACGGTCACTTATAATTGGTTAAGACGCTATTTTTGTTTCATGAGGATCCTGTAGTCCATTGGTTTGGAATGAAAGTTTCTAACATCCCTAAGGGGATCCTCCGTATCCGACAAAGCCCTATGTATTCAATTTCCGTCCTCTCAGTTTCATAAACAATACTCTCGCCTCGAGAAAGCAGTGAGAAGGACCTCCCTGGCAGTAGTTTTATGCACATGGCAATGTGAGAGCATTTGGAGAGAGAGAGGAAGCAGAGTCTCTCTACTCTCGACCGCACCAAGGCATTTGGGGACCAGTAAACATACAGTCAAAACTTAATAATTACATTTTACGTTGAGCTCATCAATCGATCGATGTTAGACCACGGTTGAAGGCCTGGAATTAGTGGACAGCCATTTCGTTTTAATATGAAACTCTTCAAGATTGTGCGTTCACGATGTCGCCCGTGGAATTCAAGCTTGAGACTGAAGGTTCTTGATTCGAATCTCACACACAGAATCGTGGATGAGCACTGTTGAGGGATCCCATACCAGAACGAAACGTCTATCCATCATCTCAATCAAACACTTCAAAATCTTCACAACTACATAATGATATTTCCATTTTAGTTTCTTTGAAAAAAACTAATCACAACTTCAGTCATTTCACTTGATTCAATGATAATTAACAATGAATACATCAAAACAATCATAACAACGCAATGATACCATCTATTTATAATTTAATTAATCAGTTAAACTCATTAGCAATTCAAATGAATTGTCATTCATATGATGTACAATGATTGTGATCTATATTGTTTACTTCATTGTGCTATTATTGTCTATTATAACAAATCATTGTTAGACTAACGAGGTAAACAAGTTACAACTGGTTCATTCATTAAACTGTATAGTTACATGTTTTTAGATAGTTGTCCATTATCTTTTGGTGTAATAATCTTTGTTTATGAAATAAAATCATTTTAAGTAGAGATGGATGATAGTTAACAGTGGAATCTAAGATGTGTGGGTTACTTATATTCATATAAGTAGTATATAGTAATGGTCAGGCATAGGATGTATTTTGGCAGAAGATCAATTTTAGTAAGATAGTCTGTAATGTAAAGTCGTGTGCAATACATTCGATTGTCCCCAACCGTCTTCTTGTTTACTACAGTGTAGTTCTCTTTGGTTGTGATGGTTAGCAATGGAATCCTAGATTTGCTTTCCGTCATGTTTGTGAATCGTCATATGGATGTGACTACATCTAATAGTTGACATTTACTTTAAGATTCCAATCTAGTACCATTCGCTTTAAGTGCCATCAAAGTATGTACTTAGTTACTCAGTCCAGATAGACATCATATTGTGCAATGAAGTGAATTTGATTGTGTGAGCTAGATTCTGATGCTTACTTACTTACTTGAACCTGTTAATCACAATGGAGCATAAGCCGCCCACCAGCATTCTACAACCCACTCTGTCCTAGACCTTTATTTCTAATTCTTTCCAACTTTTGTTCATTTCTCTCATGTCTATCTCCATTTCAAGGCGTAATATGTTCTTTGTTCTTCCTCTTCTCCTTTGACCTTCAGGATGCTATTTGAGGACTTGTCTTGTAACGCAGTTGGCTGCTTTCCTCAATGGGTGCCCAATCCACTTCCAGCGCTTCTTCTTTATTTTTTTCCTTCCTTGCAATATGGTGTTTTCTCTCCCAATGTAGGTTGTTGCTGATAGTGTCTTGCCAACGGATTCGAAGTATTTTGCAAAGACAACTGTTAATAAACACCTGTATCTTCTGGATGATGGCTTTCGTAGTCCTCCAGGTCTCCACCCCATACAGTAGGACTGTCTTGATATTTGTATTGAAAATTCTGATTTCCGTGTTGTTTGACAGACAGTTGTTTTGAGTTCCAGATGTTCTTCAATTGTAAATATGCTGCTCTTGCTTTGCCGATTCGCGTTTTCATATGTTTATCAGATCCGCCGTATTCATCAATGATGTTGTCTAGAAATGCAAAGGTTTTTACATCCTCCAAAGCTTATTCGTTGAGTGTGATTTGATTGCTGAACGTTGTGTTGTATCGGAGACTCTTGCTTTCCCTTTGTTTATGTTGAAACCTACTGCTGCTGAGGCCGTCGCTACACTGGTTGTCTTCTCCTGCCTTGGTTGTTGTGTGTGTGTGATAGAAGAGGGACTTTAAGGCTAACCACTACTTATATCCGGTTATAATGCTTGAGACTTAATGGCAGTAACGAAGGTATCTACACAGGGTGCACATATGTCAAAAGAAACTGATCAATTACAGTAGTAAACATTATTAGGTTAATCCAAACAATCATATTATTCTTGTTAGCGTTTTTTAACAAGGTTATTTTCTACTGGATGAGGTTGCTAATCTCATGCCTAACCTTCCTTCTTTAAACTAGCTTGAGACCATCAGTAATCTTAGAAGAGCTACAGATGGTCAGTTTGTTATTCTCTTTTCATTGAAAAAGCGATTCTGATTCATTCCAACAATTCATTATGAAGTAAATACTAGAACAATAATGCAAATAAACTGACTAAATCCTACTTACTCGAACAAATATTTGTGTACTTTTATCACCAAATAAATAACGTCCTTCACCGATACGAACCATAGGGAATGTTTGTTTACAAGTACATTGTGATAATAGTTCACGTACCTAATAGGTATAGTAATTAAAAAAAAGAGAAATAATTAGTAATTGTTTGGTAACAGACTGAGTTAAACATAATTTCAAATAAATTGATAATAGGTACTTCAAAGTCTTATATGTATGTTGGGACGGCATGCGAGAACTACGACGGAACCTCCAGCGATCCTCAAGGAGCAGAAGAGTTTCCATCCAATTAGAAAGTGATTGAGTTTTCTAGAATATCAGCGTGGCATGCTACTATTAGACAGCAATGTAACATACCTCTTTGCGGATTGACTGAATTATAATGTCGATATAACAAACGTTAATATCTATAAATACCCATGATTTTCTGTACATTTTGATTCTTACCCAAAAAGCACTTCTCCAGTCTTCTTCTATCTTCTGATTTAGTGACTGTGAGGTTTTATACGTTCAATTGCCTTAGATGTCTACCGTACTGTGCGTTAATCAAGTAGCGAAATTATTAATATGGAAGTCAAAACAACTGCCAACCAATATCAAAGTCAGTATCTTCAATATGAACATCGTGACAGTTCTACTTTACGGAGTTGAAACTTCGAGAACTACTACAACCATCGTCAAAAAGGTAAAATAATTTATAAACAGTTTTCTACACAAGATACACGCAATCCGCTGACCGGATACCATCAGTAACAGTATTCTATAGGAAAGGACAAACCAGGTTCCAAATGAAGAGAAAATTAGGAAAAGACCTTGTAAGTGGATAAGACATACATTATGGAAATCACCAAACTGCATCACCAGACAAGCTTCAACTTGGAGTCCTGAACGAAAGCGGAAAATAAGAAGCCCGAAGAATACACTACATCAGGAATGGGAAAGAGACATGAACAGGATGAATAGCAACTTGAAAGGATTGTGCAGGACAGAGTTGGATGAAGAATGCTGGTGGGTTGCCTATGCTCCTTCATGAATTAAGCTCTTGACTATCAAAAGGAGTTCTAAACCAAACACTAATACTATTTACCATGTCAACAAATGAAAAGTATCTCAGATAAAGTAGAATGGTTAAGTGCTCGCACGCGAGACTGATAGATTCTGGGCTTGAATCTCGAGAGGTGGGATCGTGAATGCGCACTGCTGAGGAGTTTCACAATATGACGAAATGGTTGTTCAGTGCTTCCGCATTCTCCATGGTGGTCTAGCTTCAATTGATTCATGATTTCAACTATAAAACCGCATTTAAATTGATAATGCCTAATTTTCGATGAATATTCTATAATATCTATCTAGATACTAAGTTTATTTGATAGAAGTATAATGTAATGAACCTGGAATGGTCACTACCATTCTCTTTTTCCCTATAATACACAAACACACACACACAACAAATACATAACAGTATACTCTTACAAAAGTAGATCCACAAAAACCCCTTTCTGATAATAATAATCATATGCTCACTAGTGACTGACTTCCAAAGGTAAATCCATAAGTTCTAATGAGAAGCAGTGACCAGTAGAGTTCAAACCACGTCTGTTGTGAGATATCAACTCACTGAAGACAATTGATGAACGGTTGCTCAAATTCGTAGATTGGCTGAAGTTAGATATTAACACCGTTAGATGCCGGCTCAGTGGTCTATCGGTTAAGTGCTTTGACGCGAGACTAGTAGGTCCTGGGTTCGAACCTGCGAAGCGAGGTCGTGGATGAACACTGCCGAGGAGTCCCGTACTAGGACAAAACGGCAGTTCAGTGTTTCCAGGTTTTCCCTGGTGGTCTAGCTTCAATTGACTCATGATCTCAACTATTAAAGTCACTATCATATCCACAAAAACCCCTTCTAATTCTATTATTAGTAACCGACAATGATTCTATAAAAAAATGTTTCTTTCTATAAGTTAAATGAACAGTAACATTTATCATAGATTATGTAACATTTACAATGTGATTAGTCAATAAATAAAGTAACATTTTGTTGTATCTAGGCAAGTTTACCTTTACTTATCATGCAGCAAAAATGTAGACTGGATCAAGTTGAAAATGTGTGTGTGTGTGTGAATGCATGTAAAGAGTTTTTTTTCTAAATTGTATTGATTTCAATGACAGGTATACAGACTCACTTATTGAAATCTAAGTCTAATAATTCGCTTGGAGTACAAACCAAACTAAAACAACACATATATACCATTACAGTAACATTCAATAAGGATCATATGTAAAAATGGATTTAGGAGATCGTAATAAGGACTATCGTAACCAATGGTTGGAGACTCTAGGTGACATGTCTCAGAATCGATCACAATGTCGTCGGTGTATACACCCTTTATCTTCCCTTAAACCTTAAGATTAAAATTACTTCATAACTTTTTTCCTTCCTATACTATATCCTTATATACAACCTTTCTTTATATACTACCACCACCACTAAATTAACTACTTCTATGAATCCGGTGTTCATCTTGTTGTGCTAATGAGGTATGGCAACTTGGACCGATGCATATATGTGCCTGGTCCTACGTTGTAGCTGACTGACTGACTGAATAAGAATCTATCATTTATAGAGTTCAATCCAAGTCCATTTGATTGCGTAACGAAAATCAAATGTAAATTGATATTATGAATAGATCAACGTTAGACTATCATTGAAAACCTGGAAGTACTGGATAGCCGTTTTGTCCTAGTATGGGAACTCCTCAGTGGTGCGCATTTATGATCCCTTTACTAGAGGAATTCGAACCCAGTACCTTTAGTCTTGTACGTTAACGCTCAACCTCTAGATCACTGAGTCGTGACCACTGGAGTCCATTCCTTAGACAATTGATAACGGGTTGCATAAGATCATTGATCGATTGGAATCAGACTTTAGCACCGTTGAATGCCAGAAATATCAGTGGTCTAGTAGTGATTCGTCTACATTCAAGATTGAAGGTCTTTGGTTGGAGTCCCATCGGTGCGGAACCATGGATGCACACTGCTGAGTAGTCCCACACTATGATTAAACGGCTATCCATTCATTATATCAATTAAACCTCAATAATCTCCACAATCTTATACTGATAAAAATCGAATTTTAGATCAGAAGGTGTTTTGTAGAGAATGCTCACTAGTGACTGTCTTCAAGAGATATTCCCTTGAGTTCTAGTGGGAAGCAGTAACAAGTAGAGTTCAACCAAGTCTGTTGTAGAGATATCAACTCACTGAAGACAATTGGTGAACGGTTGCTCAAACATCGCAGAGTGGTTAAAGTTAGACATTAACACTGTTGGATGCCTACTCAGTAGTCTATCGCTTAAGTGCTCCGACGCGAGACTTGTAAGGTCCTAGGTTCAAATCTCGCGAGTGTGGGATAATGTATGCGCACTGCTGAGAACTCCCATAATAGAACGAGACGGCAGTTCAGTGTTTCCAGCTTTTCCATGATGGTCTAGCTTCAATTGACTAATGATTTCAACTATGATAAAATCGAATTCTTGAATATCACCTAATTAATTTGTAAACTGTCGCATTCACTTTGATATTATGTTATGATGAAGACTAATTACAACGTTACTATTTTTGTATAATTTTACTTTATTATACAAAAAATGATCTAAAATCCTCATAAATAATCAATAATATCATTTAGTTACCATGGGAAACAAAAAATTAGGAAAGAAAAAAAATTTTGTCAACAACTAATTATAATTTTTTGTTTGTTTCGTTTTTAGTTTATCATTAGTAACTTTAAATCGAACACATACACATACACACACACTCGAACACATACAAACACACTGAATATGTACACATATAGATTATTCGAACTTGAATTGATTTTTTCATTGTTTACTCTTTGAAATAGTTTTCTAACAATGAAATAATTAGATCATTAACGAATGTATCCTAAGGAACAAAGTAATAAAGGAAGGGGTTTCTTGTGAATATTATAATAATTGTAATAGTTGAAATCATTAGTCAATTGAGTTCGAATCTCGCGAAGAGGTATAGTGAATGAATAATGCTGAGGAGTCCCATAATAGGACGAAACTGCTGTCCAGTGCTAGCAGGTTTTCCATGATGGTCTAGCTTCAATGGACTCATGATTTTAACTATTAAATACGGTCGAGAGTAAGGGGGGGTGCCTGCCCTCTATCTCGAAACGCTCTCTCACGGCCACGCGTATGCATCATCTAACAGGGAGGTCCTACTCACTGCTTTCTCTTGACGGGAGTGTTGTTTACCAAAATGAGAAGACGAAAAGCAAATGTCCGGCGCTATAACCGGGTTGATGGATATGGAGGATTCACTTATTGGAGTTGGAAAACCTTGATTCTAAACCAATGGTGCAAATGGTCTACAGGATCTTGAGGGAACAAATGTCGTATGAACCAATCGTTAGTCATAGGCTACCATGGGACTGAATCTTATTACGATGCTCCACCGCGTTGTGGATCAGACTTTTAGGTCGAAGGCTCCAGTTCTTGCCCCCTATGATAACCAGCTGCTTCGGTCTGTTCACTCGGGCAGTATCATAGCCCTCAAATAATTAAATGAAATGGCATCTTTTTGTGTGAACCATGTATATCTAATACCCCTATGTGCCAATATTTATGTTCAAATAAATCAATAATATCCTTTATTAAATTCCATACATTTCTTATGATTTGTATCTGTTAATTATAATTACCACTGTACCTCACACTGATCTAAGATGTTATAACATGTTATCGCAAAGAAACCCATTGTTTACAGTTACTAATAGTAGTTATCGTATTGTGGTCTAACATGGATCAATTCATGATTTCAATGAATCAGTATACATCTCGAAGATTAAATATAATCTGTTTATATTTACACCATTATTTGAAACTATTCATATTTACGCATAAACAAGCAATGGAGACTTAAGTCGCTCATTAATAGTGAATATAAACATCTAATAATTCAATTACGTATGATGTATGTTTGCATTTATCTATTTGAATGCATAAATATTGGTACAAATAGGCACCGAATACATATACGCCACACAAGTTAATTGATTTATGTATGCTTTGAGG